TAGAGGCCAGAAAGACATCCTGTTCGATGCCCAGTGCTTCAGGGAAGGAAGGTGGGGTCCAGAAGATTCAGGGACCCAACCACAGCCACCCACCTGGGTAGTGGCAAAATCAGAAATAAAATTGGGCTGCCTGACCCCAGCACTCTCTCTGCTGCCCCGAAAAGCCTCCTCTAAAGCCTGTCATCAAATATCGCCTGAATGTGTTTCATGAACCCATGCACACTTAAATTAGGTTCAATCACTAGTCTGGGGGAGAGAGAGAGAGAGAGAGAGAGAGAGAGAGAGAGAGAGAGAGAGAGAGAGAGAGAGAGAGAGAGAGAGAGAGAGAGGGAGAGAGAGAGAGAATCCTTTGTATTACACTACTTTATTTAAATTTGCATATTGAGCTCCCAGGTGGTTTTGGCCATCTTTGGCTGGGGGGAATGAACCATAGGCCATCCATCTCCCTAGCCAGCTTGATATATATTTAATAGCCAAATGTATAACATGTTTAGGTAAAATGCTTCTAATTCCAGGCAATCTACACAACTCCAATAAGGAATTTAGCCTGTCTTGACATTGCTGCACGAAAGCAGAATGCTCATTTAAATCTTCAACTTAAATGGTCTTTCTGTGTGTTTTTAGTTCTAGTGATCAGAGATTAAAATGTAAGGCTGAGGCTGCCTCCATGCATGCTCTCCATATTGTTAGCAGGAGACAAAGTATCCACACTGAACAGAAGATCCTGAGGGATGAAGAAGAGGTCAATTAATCTGAATGTAAAGCTGTGTTGGGCAGGAGAGAGGCAGGGAGGGAAGAGAAGAAATGATGAGAAACTAAGCCCATTCCGACACACATAAGGACACAGGGTTTCCACAACTACTGTGTGTGTTTAGTCCTGTCATTAACAATGTAACAGAAACTGCAACAAATAGTGGCTCAAAAGATAGAAAGAGGGAAAAGGGGAGTTTGTCTCATGCAGTAAGTCTGAAGACAGGCAGTCAAAGCTGGTGTAGAAGATCAACCCTGCTCTTTTTATCTTTCCTCTTTGCTATTTCTGGAATGTTGGCTTACAACCTCACTGTCACTACACGGCTGCTGATACTCGCAGCAGCACAGCTGGGTTTAGAAAAGAGTGAGAAACTGGTGCTGCCAGTTGCATCAGGTACTCTTAGAAATGCTTTCCCAGAAACTCCCCAATAGGATAAGGGTTTCCACAACTAGACTATATATATATATGTGTGTGTGTGTATATATATATATATATATATATATATATATATATATATGCACATACATACATACAGGTGTGTTTTAGAGGCCTGGTACATAAATTCACACATGAGTAGGGCCCCTCCAGCCTGGCCAGGGGAAGGGGACATGGGTGGTTGGCTGGCCTGCCTCTTGGTTGAACTCCTGGTCGAGTTCATATTAGCCTTTTATTATAGAGGATACATTAGCCTTTTCATATTAGACTTTTATTATATAGGATATACACTGAGTGGTCAGATTATTATGCGTTCAGAGATCATAATAATCTGGCCACTCAGTGTACATCCAATGGAATCTAAGCAATTTAGAATAGAGTCTGGCATTCTTCCTCTGGTCATCTTAGAGATGTGAATAATCCAAAGTGTCACACACAATCCTGCCTCATGTAATATTGCCTGCTCTGCAATGTCTCCTTAAGTCTCACCCTAACAAGTATAATCTTTGCTGATGGATTTTACTAAGCATTTCCAGCATTGACTCAATAATAATTGACTTCTCCGGGTATCTTTGCTTTCTTCCCATATGCATTGCCAAGTTCTACCTTCAACCTCTGGCAGCCCCCGTCTGGGAAGTCTGAGCTCTCTGGGTTGAACTTCACCTCTGGGTATGTTCTCTGGGATATTGTGGCATCAGGTACTCTTAGAAATGCTTTCCCAGGAAGAGCATGGTGGGCATGCAGGCCTCCTTGTGAGAGCTGGAACCTCAAGCGTCCTCTACGTGGGAGATCTGTGAATGCCACAGCACTGGCAGTTCCCGTGTGGCACCATTAAATGCCCCTTCAACAGCCACAGCCTATGGGCATACTGTTGAATCATTTAATGCGTTATGTCATGTAGGCCTGAAGAGCACCTTGGCTAGCATTTTTCTTGGGCCTCTGCTTTGGGTGGCTCAAACCAGCTCAGGGACACATACACACACCCAACCTTCCTTTCTGTTTCCCAGGAGCATTACCAATCAACAGGTAATTATTGGAGACTTTGTCCATTTGACAGACTAGATCAATCTCTGTCTACAGTTTCTGAAATTCATCTCTTCAAGTCCATATTTCCTGCTGCAGTACACCGAGTTGGTGTTTCCATCTCTCTTGTTCTCTGTTCCTACTGACACTGTGCAAATCTAAGCAAGGTTCCACCTGAAGATGCCGCTGCCGCCCCTGGGTCAGCCTCCAGATGCAAACCCTCCACTGAAAATCTACTGCTTCTGTGTATAGACTCCTATGGCTTTAGGCAAAGAGAAGGATTTCTCCTCTGGCTGAGTGCTGCCTGAAAGGTTGCTTCGCCTCCATTGCTCAGTGCACATCCTCTGCAGTGCTTTCTGTTTCTCTTGTAAACGAAAATCTTTCCTTGGGGATGGATTGACTCTGACTGAGCTGCTACAGTGCTACTTGACCACACACCAGAGGGAAGATATAGGCACCAAAGTTCTTATAGTGTAGGTGTATCGGTTTTCTACTGCTGCTATAACAAATTAACCACTAACTCAGTGGCTGGAAATCGCATAAATGTGTTATTTTATAGTTTTGTAAGTCAGAAATCTAAACTGGGCCAGCAGAGCTTCTTTCTCTGAACTCTGCTGAGTCTGTTTCCTTGCCTTTTCTAGGTTTTAGAAGCCACCTGCATTCCATGGCTCATGGACCCCCTTCACCACCTTCAAAGTCAGCAGGATGGCATCTTCAGGTTTTTCTCTCAAGCCCTCACATTCGTGACCTTTTAAAAGGACCCTGCGATTTCATGGGGCCCACCAGGATAATCCAGGACTGTCTCCCAGGTCAAGATCCTTAGCTTAATTACCTCTGCAAAGACATTTTACCATCTAAGGAAACGTATTCACAAGTCCCAGGGCTGAGGGTGTGGACATGTTGTGGGGGAGGGGCATTATTCTGCCTCCCACACTAGGGAAGAAGACAAGATGAACTAACTGAAAAAGTAAACACTTAATAGATTACTTAACAGCAGATTCTTTTCTTTTTTTTAAAATATATTTTACTGATTTTGTACAGAGAGGAAGGGAGAGAGATAGAGAGCTAGAAACATCGATGAGAGAGAGTCATCGATCAGCTGCCTCTTGCACACCCCCCCTGGGGATATGCCCGCAACCAAGGTACATGCCCTTGACCGGAATCGAACTCGGGACCTTTCAGTCCCCAAGCTGACGCTCTATCCATTCAGTCAAACCGGTTTCGGCTTAACAGCAGATTCTTGGGCCATTCAGGCTTATATAGAAGCCCATGAATGGACTTAAATGATCAGCTAACACCCTCATTTCAAGAAGAGGGAACTGAGGCCCAGAGAAGTGAAATACTTGTCACATACACAGAGCTGTTGAGTGATCTCCCAGGGCTTGGAATCCAGCCCTTAACTCCCAGCCCTTAACTCCCCACAGAGCAGTTGAACCCTTCCAGCCCACATTTGCTCCTCCCTCTTCTTAAAAGAAACACGCTGCCCGATGGAGCCTCTCAGTGTCCGGCTGCTTCCAGGACAGCGGGCTTCTCTTGAAGCTGAGGACCTTCCTGCAGGCCTTTTTGTCATGTGCTCTACAAGCTGTGCACTGTGCAGTCATATTCTTTGAAGACGCTTTTCTTTTATGTCTGCTTAAAATAGCACCTGCCATGGTGTGAACCTCAGAAACTTCAGAATGAGGGCCCAAAGGAATGGGTAAATTTATCACCTAGTGAACTGACCTACATTCGCCTTAATTGTTTTTGGTCTGACCATTACCCCAGGCATCAGAGTCAAAGAGAAGAAAAGAGATGGTGAGATCACAATGTATATGCATTTTATGGCTCTGGTTGATCCTGAAAATGAATAATTTTCAGGAAAGAGTTTAAAGAAAAAAAGGTTCTTAGCATAGAGTTAATTTTCCAAAAGACTCGCTTCTGCTGGTATTTCGGGAAGAAGAAATTATTAAAATGATGACTTGTGGGTTTCTCAGAGGTAGATCATCTGATCTGGCTCAACTGCTCTTTTATTACAAAATGTTGGGTCAGGTTTTACTTTATTGCAAAAAGACTAAGTTGAAAGCCATATCTTCTTTAAACATGAGTATCTTTATGTGAGCAAAAGACATCCATGTCTCTGTTATGTACAAAATGCTTCATATTATCAGATGTAATTGAAGAAACAAAGATTTTTGTGAAACCTGAATTATAGATATCAACAGATATTTAAGATGTTTCTAAAGTCACTATCAAAAGCATATTATCTCCCTAATTTTTTTTAACACCTCAATTGTAAATTCTTTTGGAGAGCTTCAAAAAGATATTTACATCCTTCTAGCCTGATCTTTGAGAACATTTGCAGCTGTTGAGTTTCATTTGCTAATCTGTTTTCGATGAATGTGTACATTGCATGGCTTGTTTAATATAATTTATTGCTATGCTTCAGCATTCATGGTATTATTGCCTTGATGTGCAAAGAGGGGCTGGGTGGATAACTGTTTCTGGTTTTTGTTTTCCATTTTTAAATCAGCACGGGTTTCATGCACCTTGCAAAATGTAATCAGTGCCAATAGAATTGATGCATTTTAGCAAAAGAATGCTACTTCTTCAAATCTCTCCAAACAGTTCCCAGACCTCAGATTACTTTAATAAAAACAAGATAAGTAAAATTTAAGCATATGAATGCCATTTGAAAAGAAGCTTCTATTAGAGAAAATAGTTTTTTGTTCTAGTTGCAGAGATCAAAGAAATAAAACTATTAATCTGAGCACAACATGGTTTAACAGACAAACTGTCCATTTGTATTTTTCAGTTCCCATGGAGCCCTCAAACAAAACCTGAACTCAACATTATTCACCCAAATTCAACCTTTTCTCCATTTCCCATCTCAGCACAAAACCACCATTCAACCAGCTGTGTTACCCAACCACCACAGCCAACCACCAACCTTGTCAATATCTCTTGAATTCATCCGGGTCACTCTACCTCTGCTCTCATGGCCAGAGCCATATATGATTTCAGTGGGCCTTAGGCACTTTTGCCTTCATGGCAAAATATTTGAAATTATGATTTATGACTTTGTTGGTATAAAGACAAATGTAATCCTTGATTCATTTTTATATGTTCATCATTATTATATTTATTTTAAAATTCTGGTTCTAAGAAAAACTAGAACTAAACATTTTTGCCAGCCACTAAAATGTGCCATGGGCCCTGGGCACTATGCTTTGCTACATTGGAACTGCTAATGGCCCTGACCCTCACCTGGGCTGCTCAGATTGTCAGTCACCCGGTCTCTGCATAACTACTCTTAGCAGTTCATTCTCCAGCAGCCAGAGGACCTAAATATCAAATGTGCTTGCATCCCACATAACATTTCAGTCAATAGTGTTCCATATATATGAAAGCTGTCCTATAAAATTATAATGGAGCTGAAATTTTTCTATCTCCTTCCAGTGGTGTAGCCATTGTAACATCATAGGACAGTGCATTTTTCATTATTCATGTGTTTGTGGTGATGCTGGTTTAAACAAACCTACTGCATGCACTACCAGTCCTAAAAAAGTATAGCACATATGATTTCAGTAGTAGGCTGCATCTAGGTTTGTGTATGCATACTCTACGATGTTCTCACAATCACAAAATCGCCTGATGATGCATTTCTCTGAACATATCCTCATTGTTAGTTGGTGCCTAACTGTATTTATAGTAGTTGCGAGGTAGATACAATTAACATCTTAATTTATAACAATGCAGTTCAGATTAATACCAACTTAATTTTAATAGTATACTAAAACTTTGCTCCTATACCACTCTATACCTCCACTTTATATCATTTTGGTAACACATTGCATTTTTACAAATTGTGTCCTTATCAACTTCTATTTATTGCTTTATGTAGTTGTCATCTAAATCAGATTTTAAAAAAAGAAAAGTTGCAAAAAAATTAGATTAATATTATATTTTATAATTACCTATGTAGTTATCTTTCCTGGTGTTCTTATTTATTCATGTGTGTTTAAATAACTATCTAGTGTCCTTTCATTTCATCCTGAAGATCTATCTCAGCATTTATTGTAGGGCACATATAGTAGAAACAGACTCTCTCACATCTTATTTCTTTGGGGATGTCTTAAATTTTTTATCATTTAAAAATAATTTTGCCAGATAGATTTCTAAATTGGCAATTCTTTTCCCTCAGCACTCTGAATATGCCGCCCCACTGCCTTCTGGCTTTCATGCTTTCTAATGAGAAGTCTTACAAAATCTTAGCGAAGATCCTCATACATGATTAGTTGCTTCTCTTGTGTTGTTTCCAAGACTCTTTGGTTTTGGTTTTCAACTGTGTGCTTAGAGATGATGGTTTAGCAAGGTGGAAGGTGGAAAAAGTAGTGGCTTTTGTGGGAGACAAGGCTGGGTTTTAATCCCAGTTGGGTCACTTTCTAGTTCATTTTCTTATGTTTGGTAAAATATAATAAAATCTACTATTAGGATTATTGTGAAAATAAAATGAAACAATGTAAATAAGGCATAGAAGACAAGCACAAACATTGTTCAATTACATAAGTCCAGGGCATGGTGCAGCCCAGAGTAGCTTTCTCTTTCATTGTTGACTGGTTGGCATTACCACCATTTTATTCATCCTGCACCATTTTTTTTTCCTCCACAAGAATTTACTTACAGCTGCAATTTAGAAACGCTACTCGTGTATAATTTAGGCTATTTCAATAAAATACCCAAACCAGTAATATTCCTCTTAGGGTATCATATTGGGATGCTCAATAGAAAAGATTATGTTGTCACCTTGTGGCCCTCCCTGAGATACAACTGGTACCCCTAGCATTCCCTAAGCAATACATTATGGTAATAAACTGGCTTCAACTATGACTTGGTTTGGTTTTGTAGTCATATTTTTGTGTTTTATTTTCTTGTTATATTTCAGCTCTGCCTCATCAAAGATTATTAATTCCATGGGTATAAGGCAAACATTTTGGCCCTGCCTCCTGCAGACCTCACTGGCAGATATGCAACCTTTTCAAAGGAGGTTCATTACTACAAACCCAAATCTGCTCACCCCTACAGACATGATCCAATGATATGAGACTAAAGATGTGTGTTGTAATGTGAGAGGCTGAAATCCTTGCCTACTCTTTCCCCTCCTAGACTCAGTCCTGCCAACTCACATCCATGCACCTGCCTACTACTTCCTACCCTACCTGCCTCCCCTGGACAAGCTTCTCTCTCTTCACCCAAGTCACAACTTCTTGCAGTTTAGGTTTCACAAAGTTTCCATGCTGATTTCTCTCCATTCTATTTTCAATGTGGTCATTAATTTCCATGTGCAAATTGTCTTTGAATGGCTTGTTTATTGCAATATCAAGAGTCTGGAGATAGGCCGTCATTCCTGCAGGAATCATTATCTGATCTATTTTTCTTTTGTGAAGAAATGTCTTCATGTCTTTAGCGTGGTGAGTGCTGGCTGCATCCCAGACTAGCAGACCTCTTTGGCTCCCTCGCATAACAAGTGGCAGCATTAAATCAACCCACTTCCTTATAACTGCTTGTGTGGCCCAGGCTTTTTCAGTTTCAAGAATAAAAAAGCCCAAAACACGTTCAATCTTTTCCTTCTTGCCCTTAGAAATGATTAAAGGTGGGATGTTTAGTGCCATCCAGATGAATTGCCAAAATACAGGAAACACGTGCACTTTTGTAAGCAGTGGAGGGAATGTACACACTTAGGAGGCACCCCGCTGTTCAATTGTTGTTTGAGATGATTGGCCCATAAACACTGCAGTTTCATCCATAGCAATCATATTGAAAAGATTGTATTTAGAGAAGTCAGCATCATCAATAAAGGACTTGAATGCAAGTGCTCCCTTAATAACTTGAGTATCTTCCAACCTAAACAATGTTGTACCGGTAGATCTTCTTAAAGACAGTTCACTTCGCTGAAGGAAATTATCCAGCCAGTGTTGTGATGCTTTGAAGTGTTCAGGGGCTATGTCAAACTGTGGTGCCATTGCAAGGGCAAATTCTTGAATCTGAGCCCTATTCACAACCAAAGCCTCTGCTCTCCTGGCAACAACCCATTCACAGATCAGGTCTTCCAGCTCAGAAAATAATGGTTGCCTACCTGATCCACATTTGTGCTTTTTAGCATTTCCCTTGTCCACTTGTTCAATGAAGTTACCATACTCTGCTCACCATTTTTGGACCAATTGGATACTCAACATCTTCTCTTTGCAGAAAGCAGTAAGATTTTGGCCCCAAGAGTCTTCCACGATTCCTTCTTGTATTCCATGGAGTAGCTTTTTGCAGGATGAGTCTTGGAATAATGTGACCAATAGGCCATGACTGAATGCTTCCCACAGTGCCGTCCACAGATCTGGGATGCTCCATAAGCTAAGTATTGCCCATCTGCAACAGGTCTAGAAAGTGAGAACAGGCACTTAGAAACTTTTATGTCCAATTTGACATCGCCACAGCATTTGAGAACTGACTTTGTGTTTTATAAAAGCATCAGTCTGTGATATACTGCAAATAAAAGGCTCTGGCTCTTCACCACAAAGAGTGAAAGAAGCCCCAGTTGAATTCTCAGCTGGATCCAATGTAGAGGTAGCTCACTGTGCCTACAGAAGAGACAGTGAGCTTGAGAACAGGCCCCATATCACAAGACTTACCAGAAAAAATGGTAAATCAGAGGTAATGATTTCCAGTGAATGGGAATCATAAGCCCTAGTATATATTTCAATGGGAAAAAAATCTATTTATGAAATAATGAACATTACCCAGAAGTTATTCAGTATGGTGCAGTTTCAAAACCAATTTAGTTTCTGTCTTTGCAGCACACAAATGTAGCTGCTCTGCGAGGAAAAGTTCATTCACTGGCATAAAAAGGCAGCCGAGCCAGGGGAGGAAATAATAGGTGGAGCTTGTACTGAGTCAGAATACACCTCATTGACACTAAAGCTGATTGATGAGCCAGGAGCCTTCCGAGTCCAGAGGAGAAAATGGAAAAGAGATAGACAAATGGCACCAAGATGTATGAGAAACTGTAGGTGTGACACAGATGTGTGTTCTCTGTACAAGAGAAGATTAGGGCCTTTCAAGGCTGACAGTTGTCAGTGCAGTTGAAGTACATTTTGCTAATGCTAATGGAAATGTACTAGCGTGATTTAACCAAAGCCATTTACAGCTGTTGCATTAGCTTGAAATAGAAAGCAGTTGTAGGGGGAAGAACCCAAGAGGTTTCATGCTTGTGTGTGTGAACAAATGCATATTTTAAAACTGCTATGCTCATAGTGTTTTCCCCCTTGTGTGGTCATTTTTATTTTCCTTTAGGGTCATTATCTCAGATCATAAAATCTACAGCAAGTTCTGTGGTTCCAAAAAGCCTTCTCATGCTCTCTTTCTCCATTTTGAGATTATACTTCTTGCATTCACAGGCTTTTATTTCTTACAAATCCATATTTTAGAAAATAATGCTCTTTTATCTTTCCTTGTGATGCTGGAATTAGGCATTCTCACATGTATTGGGTCCTAGGAGTCATGAAATATTCTGGAATGCCAAGACATGGCTTTCAGCCATGAAATGGCAATGCCAAGGGCATGGGACATTTCTATACATAATGGGTCAAATATACAGAGCATTGAAAGCCAATCTTGAAGACCACGAGATGAGGCACATGGCTTCTCTAGGCTGCAGCAGTCAGTGTTTGCAAAGCCAGCCTAGAGAGTCGGTGGTGGGAGGAAACTGGCTCCAGAGTTGGAATATCACCTGGCACCAAGGAGGAAACCGGGTGGCCTTCCACCCAGGACCTTCTTCAAGCAGCTGAGCATCGCAGGCTGTCCCTGAAGGCTCAAGTGGCACAAAAGCAGTCAGGCAATCGGAAGGATTCTGAAAAAGAAAAAATAGGACCTAAAGGGGATATCAGTATCTCTACCAAAGAGGATCCTGGGAAAATAGGAGGCCACAAGAAAGATCAGAGAATGGCTTTTCTTTTTTTTTCATAGAGAAGAAGGGAAAAGGGGAGAGAGATATAAACATCAATGATGAGACAGAATCACTGATCAGCTGCCTGTTGTATATCCCTTACTGGGGACTGA